GGTGTGTTGCTAGCAGGGAGCTAATTATAATTATAAGAAAGGTAGTGGTTCTCATTTGATCGTGTGCATCCAGATTTTTCGATAATTCTTCCAGATGCTTTAACAGCAGGGGCATCGTATTACAAAGAGATACCCAATGCGCAGGCAACAAAGCAAACGAACGTACTGTGATCTACGGCACGTCCTCTTTGTTTACGTCTCGCAGCTACTAAACTTTCAGATATATTTATATATTTGGTATTTGTCAATGCCACCTAGTGACAAAATCCGCAATCACTTAGTTGCCAATCCAATACACGCCATGTTTTCCATTCGCTTTCGCAATAGCGTTCTTACACGCGTCCCTCTAAATCAGAGAAAACGATCGCATTCTCGGATGGTGATCAAGGTGACTGAACGAATGTAATACAGCGAGGCGATCGATAACTTGAAGACGTAATCGAGAAGGTGCTAGGTACGAAACCGAAGGAAACCAAGCGAAACGAAACGAAAGCAAAGGGAAGAGAGAGAGAGGCTTACCTGATTTGCGTGTGATAGGCGGGAGCTGTGTGTTCGGTGTGCGTAGTCAGCAGTTCGGCCGGAACGGTGTCCATGTCGATCGGTTGAGTCCTCGATATCGCGATAGGCTGCACCTGAAATACGCCGGGCGTTGTCGGTGAAGGTTGTGGACCTAACAACGACACGCGTACCATTTCCCTACCTTCGCTGTAAAAACAAACAGAACGAAAGATCGTTAAAATCGTGTCCAAGCGGATATTCAGGTTCGATCATCTTACATTCTAAGGCGAGCTACTCACACAGATCGCGGTGCATCCAGCAGAACGCGAAACTTAAAAAAGCAAAACGCAGTCGTACAACGACGCAAGTAACGCGAAAGAAACATACGATTTTTACGTCGAAAAGTGCCAGTACGTTTGAACGTTACGGACGACTGACGGTATTTTGTATATCATTGTTATCTCCTCAATAATTTTTATTGAACATTAATAGTATGTATATAGTACATACAGTACAAGCGGAAAAGGGGAGATTCTACGCGAAAAAAGAAGTCGAAAATATAGAATAACAATTTTTCGTTTGAGGCTTTGTTTTCGAGAAAATCGACTTTGAATTTTCACTCGGTACGCGTGCACTTTATCGCGTCTCGTTATAACGGATCTCACTGTATATCGTTGTTTCGATGGAAAAATTAAAAAAAAACGGATCTCACTCGATCGGTTGAGTCCTCGATATCGCGATAGGCTGCACCTGAAATACGCCGGGCGTTGTCGGTGAAGGTTGTGGACCTAACAACGACACGCGTACCATTTCCCTACCTTCGCTGTAAAAACAAACAGAACGAAAGATCGTTAAAATCGTGTCCAAGCGGATATTCAGGTTCGATCATCTTACATTCTAAGGCGAGCTACTCACACAGATCGCGGTGCATCCAGCAGAACGCGAAACTTAAAAAAGCAAAACGCAGTCGTACAACGACGCAAGTAACGCGAAAGAAACATACGATTTTTACGTCGAAAAGTGCCAGTACGTTTGAACGTTACGGACGACTGACGGTATTTTGTATATCATTGTTATCTCCTCAATAATTTTTATTGAACATTAATAGTATGTATATAGTACATACAGTACAAGCGGAAAAGGGGAGATTCTACGCGAAAAAAGAAGTCGAAAATATAGAATAACAATTTTTCGTTTGAGGCTTTGTTTTCGAGAAAATCGACTTTGAATTTTCACTCGGTACGCGTGCACTTTATCGCGTCTCGTTATAACGGATCTCACTGTATATCGTTGTTTCGATGGAAAAATTAAAAAAAAAAGAAAAAAATTTTTATTCTATATTTTTGACTCCCTTTTTTCGCGTAGAATCACCCTCTTTCCACAACCACCCTGTATAATAATATAGATGTATTTCATAAAAATATTGAGTTGGCAACTAGGTGATTGCGGATTTTGTCAATACAACCTAATGACAAAGTCCGCAATCACTTAGTTGCCAACCAAATAACAAATATGACGAGCGCTGTTGCGTCGCTTGTTTCTCTTCGCAATCGATAAAGACGAGCGATTTTTCGACTCTGTTTTTTCGAAGACTCAACGGTTAAGATGGCGATCCTTCGCAGGGTTAGAACATCCAACATTCGCCGTTTCGATTCGATGGCGGCGCGAGGTTCATTCCTTCGGAAAGGAAAAAGACAGAAAATAAGATTACGCTGAACGTTTCAACGAACCGACTGCATAATAACCGGTATCCATCGAGCGATTCATTATGTATCATCTACGACACGAGAACCGAATTAGTTAACGGTGATTTATCGCGAAATGCTTTCTTCCTTGGTGATAGTTTTTCGGTCGTTAAATATTTCGTTGGGCTCACGTGTTGCACGAATGGCATCGTGCCAAAGGATACGCTGACACTTGCCAATTTGTGAGATCGCTTGACAATCCAGTATGTAGATATACTAAAACCGGAAATATCAAAATGTCGTTAACTCTGATCGAAAATTGTTGTTTCTCGTTAACGTGGCGAATCGCGATCAGATAGAATCGATAAAAGCTTAGTCGAACGATCGAATTCACCGAAGCCGCTTCTAAAAACGATGCAACGCGTCTTTTGAAAGTAATTCCGTTCTTATCTTGCCATAAATAAAATTATCCACAGGTTATTTCATTTGTCAGGGGAAAAAAAGAACGCGTGTAAAATAACGTGGAGCGACCTTGGTTGGAAGACGGTAAAACGAGGAATTTGCCTCGGGACGGATCGTCGCCCCATTCGTTCAATGGCTGTTTGCCACCACCCTGTGGCGTAAACGGTGACCCTCTCACTTTTCAAGGGGCGCCCCACGGATTGCGGAGAAAGTGTTTAATCGATATTTTTCAACGGCGAAACTTTGCACGCTGGAAAATTCTACGCACGGATCGCTTCCGATTATGTCTCGCAACCGCAACTAACCGCTTTCGCTTCCTCTTCTTATTTCATTATCAATCAAGTATTACGCTTTATATAGAAATGCAACGACTGGTCCCTTTACTACGTAAATTCTAGTTTCCATTTATAGATGGCGAACGGAATTAAATATCGACCGAGCGTTTGTGCTCGCGATAAACGAAAACGTTTGGAATTAGATAAATTATTAATCACTTAACGATCTGGCGGTAAACATCTTATCGAGCGAAGCATTACTACAAATGTTTTGAAATGCATCGAATGGTTGCTGCGCCAGCTATGATCTTTTTGTGCACATTTATTACGGATTACCACGTTTGCCGGAAGTACGCGGTGTTCGTCAACTATCGCGTCAACACATTGTGTATCGATGCGCGGTTAATCGCGCGACAATTTGCGCCAGTATACGTTCCGTTGGTATAAACAACAATCAACGAATACGTTCGTTTTCAAATCGTTTCAAAATGAAGCTATGGTAAATGGAACGTGCTCGAATACTATGCATTACAAAAGCACGATTTTATTATCGAAACCACGATAACGCGACGTATATCAAAATGACTCTTGATGTTATTGCGGTTACCGACCAACTATACACCCTCTGCTGTTATGACAACAGGACGCGACGGCTCGAAAAAAACCGACCTGTTACCGAGCGTAGCGAGTCATCCTCTTACGCAATCGGCACGTTCTTCCATGTCGACTTTCGCGTCCGAGTGGGGGAGGGGAGCAACGGGGGAAAAAAGAAAAAAAGAAAAAAAGGGAAAGGAAGGGAAAGGTAGAAGAAGAGGGTAAAAAAGAACGAAAGCGGAAAAGAAAAGGAAAAGAACAAGAGGCAGTTTTACGCAAGGGAAACGAAAGAAATCGAAAGGATGGAGAAGCAAAGCCGAGGTCTGGCTTGGAACCGGTTTTACCATTCCACGGTCACGCGACTTTTCATCCCGATGCAGCCGGTTACGAAGAAATCGATCTTACGACGATAATGCACGAATGTTACGCGCGTCCAACGAGAGAAATCGACCTGCGTATATATACGTAGATGCAGGCTATCGAACAGCACGCGAGTACATGCGGCAAATACGATCAGGAAAAAATAGAAATACGGAGAGTACGCGTGTTTACGATTATTTCAACGAGAGCGTCTCGGCCTGCTATACTTTAGCCTCCCATTCCCCGACACCCACGTTTGTCACGTTCGCCACGTTTCCTACGGTAGCATGCGGTCTGACGTCATGGTGCATTTAAACACCTACGCTATACGATTTAAACTTTAGACCTTGAGTTTGTGATATCATCCCGCGCCGATGATGATCTCGGTATGTCGAAATGTTTTTCGTAACTGTCACTAGACTGTACCCGCGAGCAAATACCCTCCGACCGTGCCTTTTATTTCAGTCGATATATTCAACCGGTCGATCGTCACGCCACTATTTAACACGCGTTAATTGGAAGCTCGACGTTCGATTTTCTTAAGCGATATCGACAGTGTTAATGTCATCTAATTCGTACGATCCATGTGCTACTTCAAACCGAAGCTATACCCAAATACGTGTAAATTATAATTAAGTAGGTACTTATTAAATTTTAACCCAGTTTCGTAGACGGGCGTCTTCTTGGTCGAAAGACACACTGGAGAGTAATGGCATCGACTATTGTACGAATAAGGGGCGGATGGTCGATGAATGATACGTGGGCGCCACTGCGTCTATAACCCTACGAGGTCGACTTCTCTATACCCGTACCCAAACGAAAGCGTCCAGTGATATCGAAGAAAATTGATATTTCCAGAAAATGAAATCAGGGATAGATACGTTATTTTACCAAGAAACCGTGACAAACTTCACGGTAAACGGTCGACGCGCCAAGATTTAACAATGATTAGATGAGTAAATATTTTAGATTCGTCACGGGACGTGAATTATCGGCTACTGCTTCGATTGAGATTACCCCGTGTTTTCCATTTTCGGGTACGCCCATTTTGTTTCTACTCAGCGGCATATTTTTAACTTCTTACGCTCGCCAGAATCTATGTAACGATATATAGCACATGCGATCGGTTGTGCGCGATGGACGAGTGTGTGAAAAGTTGTACAGGATCGTCGAAAGACTTTGTATGACGCGGCACAAACTCCCACATACGCCGCGTCAATTTATATTCATAACTGAGAGGAATTTCTCGTTGGAAACCGGCTTTATTCAGCTCGATTTACGCGTGCTTCCCGCTCAAATTTTCCAAGCGGCACGGATGAACGAACGAAAGACGGATATCACGTCTTAAACGTTTAACCGTTTTAACCGTTTAATCCGTAAAAGGAGACACGCTTGAAACGCGATTCTTCGTCGTGAGCTCGGTGATATACATTACACAGGCTGATCACGCATGACCGACTAGAGTTGAGCTTCGATATAACGCCTAAATTTAAATTGTACACACGAAATAAAAACCAGCAAACAAACGTTCCATTTTTTCTATAGAAACGAATAATTTTCATACTACCGCAATAAATTACGAAATCTAACTTTTACGTCGGTTGCCACGCTTTCTTTATCGAGTTCGCTCGTTAGTGAAATCCGGAAAATAAAAAACTGCAAGTTAATCGTTGGAACGAGTGAACAAAGCACGTGTGTATCGTATGTAAAGATATAGAAAAAAATAAACGTTAGAAAAAATAAATGATAGCCAAGCAAAGAGAGATAACGTTATTATCAGAGTGGGCTAAAGATTCGACTGTATGTATTTCAATTTGTATTTCA